TTTATACTTTTTTGCTAATAAAGTCTCATTACTTTTCTTAAAACAACTTGAAGGATAATTTCAAAAGTCCCTTCCAACTTTCCTCTCTTGTTTATATTTCTTTTTAAACAAAAACTTGACTTCCAGTAATTAAGAAAAATTAGGAAACATCTTTTTTACCTATGGCAAGAAAGTTCTAAAAGGAAGAAAAACCAATAGTGAAGTATTGAAATCTTATCTCCTGAAGCAAGAGTACAACTAGAGATTTTGTGCAATGAATAGATGGGCAAACAAAAGCCTAAATTATAAAACTTTTCTTTCTACTGTTTCTACCCTCTTAGAGTTACTCATTTTTTAGAGTTTTTGAGAAATTTTGCCTTCTCTAGCTTGATTCTGAATTTTAAAGTGACACAAAATTGATATAGCTTTTGTTAAAGGCAATTGGTTGTCACAAAACATGTTGATAGTAGAATGTAAACAAGCTCCTATTCATTATATCACATGTTCTAATGATATTATTGATGAAAAAAAGAGAAATTACTGATACAGACTTCTTTATTTCTCTAAATAAAGTGTAACTGAAGTAAAGAAATTATGAGGCCATTAGGATAGGCACTAAATTTCTTAAGTAATAAAAAGATGATTATTTGTTTAAATCGAGATTTCCAACTTTTTATCATTTCAATCAAGCAAAGTATGCAAAGAAGATTATTTCCTTATCCTGGTTAGGCTGTAAGACTGAAAAGCAGAGGAATGTAAAACACTGTCCTTCTCTAAGATTGAGAATACATTTTTCTAGACATTGTATAATAATATTACAATCAAGATAAATACCAGTAAAATTCTTTTAACTAGATATGGTTGCTGGAAGATATCAGAAGTTACTCAACAAGACTGAAAAGTCACATAAGAACCTAGAATCTATCATTAATCATTTTCTTCTATGTAAGTTGATACAAAATCAAGACTAAAAGAAAGGAAGCATTAAGCAAGACACTAGATCTGAGCAGACGATAGTATCTCAAATGAACACAAGAAAATAATCAAGATCACAGATGGATAAGTTTTTCAGATAGTTAGGAAGAAAAAGAATATTCTAGAAGGACTGGTTCCTAATGAGAAGAGGTTTCTAGTAGAGATTCTTTGAAGAACATGAAGCATTTTTATTTTTATTTTTCTTTTTTATTTTCATTTAGTACAATTATGTATTTTTAGATATACCCTTTCCTTTTATTTTTCTTTTTTTTTTATAGTTTCTCGAAATTAGTTTTTTGGAGGATAATAAATAGTGATAATCTGCTGGCAATGATATATAAATTAGGAGAGTATTTACTCAAAATTTACTATAGAGCAAAATATTGTTCCCAAGATCGCATTTAGAGGTTAAAGCTTTTTTAAGAATTGAAAGTCATTGATAAGTGAGTTAGTACGAGTTATAGTTTAGCTATAATACAATTGCTCTATGTATCTCTATCAGTTTTTATATTGATTAATAAATACATAGTACTGATCTGATCATGAGTTTAAAAAAAAATAATTAAAAATTTATATTTATAAAAATTAATATATAAGAAAACTCTTTTTTATTGATTTTTTAATTATATATAAGAAAGATATTTATTTAAAAATTTATTAACTTTTTGATTTGTTAGTAATAGAAATATTAATATCATTTTATTAAAAAAATAAAATATTATTTTTTAAACTGGACTTAAAATGTTTAATTTAGATTTTTTTTGTTTAATTCAAATTAGTATAATAAATTTTTTATATTTTTTAAATAAAAATTTTTAATTAATAATATATAATAATAAGTTAATTATTATATGAGACCTATGAATCAATAGTATAGTGGTTAGTACTCCATAGTTCAGATCATAAGATAAAGGTTCAAATTCTCCAGATGACAATATTTGAAATTGATAAAATCTGCATTTATTAACCTAACCATATTTAATTGACATTTCCAAATTTAGCTATTTGTTATAAGGTATTATAGAAAAAAATATCTATTAATGAGTAGTAAAGTCTATATAAGGATTGTAATCAGCTGTAATATCTAAAATCAGCTAAGATTATCTTGATGTTATTCAGTTACTAAAATAGAATTGACATAAGAGTAATAAACACAAGAGTAGATCCCTAAACTAGTAGGATGCCATTGATAATTAAGCATTGGTCTTTATGTCACTCATTGACTTAATTATTGGAAGGCCTTAGTAGAAATAAAAATCTGAAGATTATTCTGAAGGATCAAAATATCAGATTCAGGATACTGTATTTGATTGTTTGATAACCTGCTTACTTTAGTATACAATAAAAGTATATAGGGAATAATTAAGATGGAATTGTGTAGTTTTTTGTCGAAGTAATACATATAATATAATTAATATAGTTAGCTATATATATAATAGTTTACTATAATAGTTAATATATATAGTATTTATTTGAGAATATACATAATGGACACATTATATTTTTCTTTGTCTATACAAGTATATATGATAATAATTCTGACCCATTGAATAACTTAAATAAAAACTGTAGGGCTTGATCCAATATATGACAGTGATAACTTGCTGATAATGATGTAGTGTATTAGAAGGATCTTTACCCAAAGACATTGTGAAGTGAAATATTGTTCTCAAGGTCAAACTTAGAGACTTTTATATTTATGATAGATTAGTTAGATTAAGATTTATAGTTTAGCTGTAATATATATTATACTGTTCAAATAAAAATGTACTTATATTTTTAATTAATTAATAAACTGATAATCTAGCCTGGCTACAAGTATTCAAAAAAAAAAAAGTTAATTATTATATAAATCTATAAGACAATAGTATAGTGATTAGCATTTTATAAATTAAATTATAAGATATAAGTTTAAATTTTTTAGAAGGTAATATTTAAAAATTAATAGGATTTATATTAATTGCATAATCATGATTTGATTTAATTTTTATATTTTTAAATATAGTTATATATTATTTAAAATTGAGGAAAACTAAATTACAATTTGTAATATAGTTTAAATAAATATTGTAATTTAAAGATCAAAATCTGAAATTAACTAAGATTATCTTAACTTAATTGCATTATTTCTAGTAATAAGTTAGAAAAAAGTAAGAAGAAGAATAGATCAACCAATCAATAGAGTACAATTGACTTTCAAGCATTAGACTATTTTTTAGTTTTTTGTAATTAATATTATTATAAAATTTTGATAGAAAAGAAATTCCTGGATTATTCTGAAAATCAAAATTTAGATTCAGAATACTATATTTAACAACTTAATAATTAATTTATTTTTAATAAAAATATATTAAAAAAATTCAAGAAAGAATTATATAATTTTGTAAAAAGATAACATTTATATGTATATAAAGTATAATTAATATAATTAATCTTATATAGATAGATTATATGGATAATTGATATATATAATACTTATTTAATATATAGTATATAGAGTATAACTAAAGTAATCTATTTATAAATATAACAAGAAAAGGATAAATAAAATATATTATATAATTATTAAATAAATTGAGTAAGTTGATTTTATTGATTTTTTATAGTACTTTTATATATTTTTAAATATATATCTTTTTTTTTTAATCTATTCTTTTATAGTTTTCTATATTTCAATAACTTGATAAAATATATAGTAATAATAACCTATTGATAAGGAAGTGGTAAACTAGAAACGTATTTATCTAAAGATTATTATAAGTAAAATATTGTTCTCAAGATTAGACTTGAAGGTTATTATTGTTTATAACAAGTTTATTAACTTTGATAAAAATGTTTAACTGTAATATGTATTATACTTTGAGTAAAAATACACTTATGTTTTCAATTGATTAATAAACTATGATTTAATCAATATAATATTTTATATACTTATTTAATATTTTAATAAAAATATATCTCAATGGCATGATTGCAAATTAATAAAAATATTAATCAAAATATATAGTATTTATAAAGATTGTTCAAATAATGATATAATGTAAGTAATGATTACTTAAAAAATGCATGATTTTAAATTAATAAAGGTGTTTTTGAACATTATTGCTTATCATAAACAATTTTTCAAATCAATCATATTGTTAAGAAAAATGAATTTATAATTACAGTATTGTATTTATAAATTATCATACGATATTAAAACTTCTTTCGGAAATCGTTTATCCGAGGAATTAAAGCGATACGAATCGATCATGTCATGAATCGAACCAACCTCAAATGGTTCGAAAAAGGAGTAGTGATTAAGACATGCGCCACTAATGGAACAACGAATAACCGAGAAAAGCTTGGAAAATTTCTTACGTAAGCATGGTAGTCTATGGATTTTGATCGAAGAGTAAAAAGTAGTATTAAAACTCGACAAATCGTAAAATCTTTAGCTTTTAATGTGCATTTGTCTTTATTGTTTCTTTTATATAATTTGGCTCTTTTAGTGTATCTTCAAAAGATTTTATCTTTTGTAAACAGATTTTCTAAAAAATCTTTTTAACGAGGCTCTCAATTTCACTTTGCCCATCTGAACACAACATCAGCGTAATTATGTGTTGTATGCCGATTATAACAGATTTAAGTTGATATTTTAAATTAGTATAATGAAATGAATAATGCAGTATCCTTGCCGCACTCGTTCGTTACCTGTGCAAAGTAAAATTTTCAAATTATAATAGAAGCTCACGTTAAATTTCACGAGAACAATACCTGCACGGGAAACGCTATCTATGCGAACAAAATAGCAATTCAAACTCTGCTGCCGATTATTTAATTATTTTTAATTGATCCGTTAACAAAATTGCTTTGTTCCCATAGAAGTCCAATTTTTTCGATGAATCTTTCTCTTTTGTACTTATCTCAATTAGGTTAAATCTAGTTGTCCAAGCCTGCAAATTAATCTATTCTCCGCTAAAATACAGTACATAAACGATTATGGTCAAGCGCAATATAGCGTAATAATATAAAAAAAGAATATTTTTGCTACCTTTTCGCGTATAATGGCTATTCCAGATTATATGACAGATAAAAATGCCGTCCTCAAGGACAAAGTGGACTGGCTTCATGGTAAGGCTCCGGATTATACAAGAGCAAATACACTCTACGAGAAGGAACGCTCTAAGATTCATGAAGCGGGTTCATTAGAAGACCTTGTAACAAATCTAGTAAAAAATTGGGAAAAAGAAGCTTCTCATAAAATCAAGGCCGAACAATGGCGCACAATTGACCATAAAGTTTACAAGTGAGATTGACTTTCATTACGTATACTGTACATATAATTGTTGTCTACCACTTTTCAAAGCCTACTTGTCATATAAATCATTTTCTTGTTTAGATTCTCTACAAATGGCGGCCCTTGGTCAACTGCAGAAGATATGTTAAGAATCGGAACTTACAATGCACTTATTGGAGAGTCGGAATTCTATTCAGCTAGCCGTTTAAATTTTGAGGAGTCACACAATGTATTCCGAAATTCTTTGACTTCTGGTTTTGCTTGGGAGGTTATCGAAGTCTTCTCTGGCCCTCCCAGAGTTTGCTTTAAATGGCGTCATGTGAGTTCATTTACGTATATCTGTTACGTTGGTTTATTATCGTTAAATTAATGATAATCATTGGAATACGTATTAGTGGGGCACGATGTCCGGTGCTCTTAGATGCCCCATTCGCAACGGGGAAACACTAGTGGCAGAGCCGACAAACCAAGCGGTGGAAATATATGGTATCACAGTCGCTGCGCTTAGTGACAAATATCAAATAACCTCTCTTGAAACCTTTTATGATCCTGCTGACCTCATTAATCAAATGGTTAAGAAATGTCCAATCGCCAGCAGTTAAATTTGCATGGTTGAGTTTCCTCATTGGGAAGATTTTATTGAGAATAATTGCGATGATTTTTTTTTTTTTTTTTTTTTGTTTATTGGGATTGTTATAACTTCCGGCAAAGGCGTAAATAACTTATTGATTTTCATATTTTTTACCATCCATTTTCTCATTAAGTAATAAGTAATAGGAAATAATAATAAAAGATTGGGAGAATTTATTGCATCGTATTTGTAAAATATTATATAATAAAATTTATGAAATTTAATGTGTCTACCTCTTAAAATGTAGCAATTACGTAAAAGTACAAACAAAACTGTTTCGAGGAATACAAGAAATACGGAACACTTGGAATACAAAAAAAAATTTTTTTTTTAGATTTGATCTGATCCTTCTCTATCGTAACAAAAATCAATTCTACTACGTAATTAGTAATTTTTAGATAAAATAAATAATTTTAAAAGTTTCGCATAATAATAAAAATTAAAAAAGGAATAGTAATATAAATATAAAATTTTACAAGTTTAATAATAATAATAATGTTGTTTTTTTGTTGAAATTTTTCAATGAAGCATATGCAGATTTAATAATACATTATTTTAAAAAATAAATTGAATATTTCAATAGGAAATGAGATAATTTCTTGTTTATTATTTATCTTTTATTTATAATGATTTTTAAATAATGTATAATATTTAATTATTAATCTTAATTTTTGAAATTTTTATAAAAATCAAATATTATAATATATTATTAAAGATAGTTTTATAATAAAACAAAATAATACAAGTAAATTTTAGAAAGAAGTTACCTTATATATAATTATTATAATTATTTTATTATTAAGATTTTTTATTGTATATACATATATAATTTAATATAAAAGTCTTTATACTAATATTTTTATTATAATTTAATAAATAATCATTGAATTTAAATAAAACTTTAATATTTTTATATTAAAACCATTGTAATTATATATTTAAAGTTTTATTAATTATTAATTAAAATTTTATTATAAAATATTAATTTAAAGTAAAAAAAAAAAAAATATTATTATTATTTTATAGATAAATTTTATATATAAAATTTATATACAAAATTTTTTCAATGATTTCTTTCCACTGATTTTCTGATCACATATAAAAAGATGTTCACAAGAAGTTTTTACACTTCTATACTAATAAAATCTTAATACTTTCCTTAAAACAACTTGAAGTATGATTTCAAGAGTCATCTCTACCTTTTCCCTTTTGTTTACAAACTTCTTCACTCAAAAACTTGACTTTTAGTGATCAAGAAAAATCAAGTAATATCCTTTGATACCAATAATAAGAAAGTTCTCAAAGAAAGAAGAACTAATTGTAAAATACCTGAAGGTTTATCTAACCTTTGAAGCAAGAGGTATATAAAGATTTTTGATGTCAAAAGGGCTTATTTTTCCCTTTCTAGTTACTTGTAGGCCTCTTAAACCTATCACTTTCATGGTTTTCTGGAGAATTTTGTCTATCTCAATTTGATCTTGAATTTTGGATAGCACAAATCCTTATCAAAGGTAATTGGCTATCATGAAACACATTAGTTTCTGAAATGTAAACAAGCTTCTATTGATTACTTTCATGTGTTTTGATAATGTTATAAATAATTAGAAAGAAAGTTCTGAAAACATTTACACTCAAAAAGCTTAAGTCTCTTAATGAAGACTTTTATGACACTAAAAGACCAAGTGATGAGTAATGTGGATTGCAAACTCCTGTCTCTTACCTAAGTTCCTCAAGTGATAATAAAGCTTTAATGGAAAAAAGCTGAGATCTAAA